ATATAGATACTTTGTACCTGTTTCCTCCAGCATCTTCACAAGGTCCTTTGCTATTGTTCTGGGATTTTTTTTTCTCTGAGGTCTTGGCTGATTTGCAACAAGGCCCTGAGTTTGAAGGTAGGCCTTGAAATACATCCACAGGTACACCTTCAATTGACTCAAATGATGTCAATTAGCCTATCAGAAGCTTCTAAAGCCATGACATCATTTTCTGGAATTTTCAAAGCTGTTTAAAGGCACAGTCAACTTAGTGTATGTAAACTTCTGACCCACTGGAATTGTGATACAGTGAATTATAAGTGAAATAATCTGTCTGTAAACAATTGTTGGAAAAATGACTTGTGTCATGCACAAAGTAGATGTCCTAACAGACTTGCCAAAACTATAGTTTGTTAACAAGAAACTTGTGGAGTGGTTGAAAAATGAGTTTTAATGACTCCAACCTAAGTGTATGTAAACTTCAGCATGTTCTTTGCTAAATGAATCCCCTTACCACACAGCACTGAGCACTCTGTCCATGTTCTCACAGGAACAAGATTACACTGATGACCTCGCTCACACGACACTACCTCCAACCGCCAGACTTAACATTTGGCAGACACTGCTGAAGTGGAATACATGACTCATTGCTAAGACAGATACTGTTTTTCAAATCGCCCCTAGTCTACTCTCTCAGACCCAGATGGTCAGTTACACGTTGTTCTCTCTCCTCCAGAGTTCTCCGACATGGTCAAGCTGGAGAAGAAACCCAGGAAGTAGAGGTCAGAGAAGGGTCAGAAGGGTCATCACCACCAAAGAAGAAGAGTGTGATGCGATGGAAAACTGGAGAGAGAGAAAAACATTTCTGGAAATGAGCTTTGTTGCTTTGCTGTGTCATTGTTGGCTACATGGTTATTATTGTCCAAAAATAATGATGAAACTAATACTTGTGTAATACTTCCTCAAGTATGTGATTTTTCCTTGCGTGTACTTTGTGTCATGAAATTAGCCATTTGGGAGTATAGAGAAAACCGTGGTGTGTTTGACCCCATTACTGTCCTGAACACATTTGTTAACGGTGGATTGAAGGGGCGGGGTTTTCAAATACACACGTTATCAGGGCGGTATATTCTCACCAAGCATAACAATAATAATAATAATAATGTACCCCAACCAACCAAGAGGAAGGCATTCAACTCTAGATCAAAAACATGTTGTGAAAGCCCTTAGGCAAAACAGCTCGATGGTGGTGTCTTTCCCAACCTGTCTTTCCCAACCTGTCTTTCCCAACCTGTTTTAACCTTACTGCCTACTCAGGAGGCGCAGGAATTCTGTTCAACTGCCTAACATGAAACACAAGACACGCAAATGTAATTCTCTATTTTTAATAGATTAGTTATTACATTAACATTTTAAAAAAAATATGAAAACACAAAATGATAAACATTACATCCTCCGTGTTTCAGTACAGTGGATCACTCAGTACAAATTCACACTGTCAGACACTTTGCATGGAGAATAGCAATAAGAGTCAGGAAGGTTATCCCATGGGACAAGAGAGCTGTTGAAAAACTCCATCAAAACTAGAAGAGTACCATGTCTTCTCACAGTACTCTGCTACATTGCGAGTCATCTGTAGAGGAACCATTTACTGTAAAAGTTTAATGATTGTTTTATATTTTAAAAATAAATTAATAAAAAAATCCCAGATTCTGTTGTGACTTCGGTTTATTTTCCTTGCCATCTTGCACCACATAGATGTAGATACAGGATATATACAAAAGTATGTGGACACCCCTTAAAGTTAGTGGATTCGGCTATTTCAGCCACACCCGTTGCTGACAGGCGTATAAAATCGAACACAGTCATGCAATCTCCATAGACAAACATTGGCAGTAAAATGGCCTTACTGAAGAGTTCAGTGACTTTCTACGTGGCACCGTCATAGGATGCCACCTTTCTAACAAGTCAGTTCGTCAAATGTATGCCCTGCTAGAGCCGCACCGGTCAACTGTAAGTGCTGTTATTGTGAAGTGGAAACATCTACCAGCAACAACGGCTCAGCCATGAAGTGATAGGCCACACAAGCTCACAGAACAGGACCGCCGAGTGCCGAAGCGCATAGTGCGTAAAAATAGTCTGTCCTCGGTTGCTACCGAGTTCCAAACTGCCTCCGGAAGCAAAGTCAGCACAAGAACTGTTCGTCGGGAGCTTTCTGAAATGGGTTTCCATGGCCGAGCAGCCGCACACAAGCCTAAGATCACCAAGCGCCATTGGACTCTGGAGCAGTGGAAAAGCTTTTTCTGGAGTGATGAATCACGCTTCACCATCTGCCAGTCCGACGGACGTATCTGGGTTTGGCGGATGCCAGGAGAACGCATAGTGCCAACTGTAAAGTTAGGGGAGGAATAATGGTCTGGGTCTGTTTTTCATGGTCGGGCTAGGCCCCTTAGTTCCAGTGAAGGGAAATCTTAACGCTACAGCATACAATGACATTCTAGACGATTCTGTGCTTCCAACTTTGTGGCAACAGCTTGGGGAAAGCCCTTTCCTGTTTCAGCATGTCAATGCCCCCATGCACAAAGCGAGGTCCATACAGAAATGTTTTGTCGAGATCAGTGTGGAAGAACTTGACTGGCCTGCACAGAGCCCTGATCTCCACCCCATCGAACACCTTTGGGATGATTTGGAATGCCGACTGCGAGCCAGGCCTAATCGGCCAACATCAGTGCCCGACCTCACTAATGCTCGTGGCTGAATGGAAGCAAGTCCCCGCAGCAATGTTCCAACATCTAGTGGAAATCCTTCCCAGAAGAGTGGAGGCTGTTATAGCACCAAAGGGGGGACCAACTTCATATTAATGCCCATGATTTTGGAATGAGATGGTCGACGAGCAGGTGTCCACATACTGTTGGTCATGTAGTGTGTGTATATATATATATATATATATATATATATATACACACACACACTATCGGTCAAAAGTTTTAGAATACCTACTCATTCAATGTTTTCTTCATTTTGACTATTTTCTATATTGTAGAATAATCGTGAAGACATCAAAACTATGAAATACCACATATGGAATCATGTAGTAACCAAAAAAAGTGTTAAACAAATCAAAATATATTTTATATTTGAGATTCTTCAAATAGCCACCCTTTGCCTTGCTGACAGCTTTGCATACTCTTGGCATTCTCTCAACCAGCTTCATGAGGTAGTCCCCTGGAATGCATTTCAATTAACAGGTGTTCCTTCTTAAAACTTAATTTGTGGAATTAATGCTTTTGAGCCAATCAGTTGTGTTGTGACAAGGTAGGGGGTTATACAGAAGATAGCCCTATTTGGTAAAATACCAAGTCCATAATGGCAAGAACAGCTCAAATAAGCAAAGAGAAACTACAGTCCATCATTACTTTAAGACATGAAGGTCAGTCAATACCGAAAATTTTAAGAACTTTGAACGTTTCTTCAAGTGCAGTCGCAAAAACCATCAAGCGCTATGATGAAACTGGCTCTCATGAGGACCGCCACAGGAATGGAAGACCCAGATTTACCTCTGCTGCGGAGGATAAGTTCATTAGAGTTACCAGCCTCAGAAATTGCAGCCCAAATAAATGCTTCACAGAGTTCAAGTAACAGACCCATCTCAACATCAACTGTTCAGAGGGGACTGTGTGAATCAGGCCTTCATGGTCGAATTGCTGCAAAGAAACCACTACTAAAGGATACCAATAAGAGACCTGCTTGGGCCAAGAAACACGAGCAATAGGCATTAGACCGGTGGAAATGTGTCCTTTGGTCTGGAGTCCAAATTGGAGACATTTGGTTCCAACCGCCGTGTCTTTGTGAGATGCAGTGTGGGTGAACAGATGATCTCCGCATGTGTATTTCCCACTGTAAAGCATGGAGGAGGTGGTGTTCTGGTGTGGGGGTGCTTTGCTGGTGACACTGATTTATTTAGAATTCAAGGCACACTTAACCAGCATGGCTACCACAGCATTCTGAAGCGATACGCCATCCCATCTGGTTTGGGCTTAGTGGGACTATCATTTGTATTTCAACAGGACAATGACCCAACACACCTCCAGGCTGTGTAAGGACTATTTTACCAAGGAGAGTGATGGAGTGCTGCATCAGATGACCTGGCCTCCACAATCCCCCGACCTCTACCAAATTGAGATGGTTTGGAATGAGTCGGACCACAGAGTGAAGGAAAAGCAGCCAACAAGTGCTCAGCATATGTGGGAACTCCTTCAAGACTGTTGGAAAAGCATTCCAGGTGAAGCTGGTTGAGAGAATGCCAAGTGTGCAAAGCTGTCAAGGCAAAGCGTGGCTATTTGAAGAATCTCAAATTTTATATTGTTTTGATTTGTTTAACACTTTTTTGGTTACTACATGATTCCAAATGTGTCATTTCATAGTTGATGTCTTCACTATTATTCTACAAGGTAGAAAATAGTAAAAATAAAGAAAATCCCTTGAATGAGTAGTCTCAGAGGAGGTGGAGGTCCTGGGTTGGCGTGGTTACATGTGGTCTGCGGTTGTGAGGCCTGTTAGACGTACTGCCAAATTCTCTAAAATGACGTTGGAGGCGGCTTATGGTAGAGAAATGAACATTAAATTATCTGGCAACAGCAATGGTGGATATTCCTGCAGTCAGCATGCCAATTCCACGCTGTTATTGTCCCCAGCACAAGGTGCACCTGTGTAATGATCATGCTGTTTAATCAGCTTCTTGATATGCCACACCTGTCAGCTGGCTGGATTATCTTGGCAAAGGAGAAATGCTCACTATCAGGGATGTAAACAAATTTGTTCACACAATGAGAGAAAAAGCTTTTTTTTGTGCTTATGAAACATTTCTGGGATATTTTATTTCAGCTGATGAAACCAACACTTTACATGTTGCGTTTATATTTTTGTTCAGTAATGCACACAGTTTGCGACTATAAAAAAAAAAATAATCCTACAGGAGGTGGTCGTTGCTATAGCAACCCGGAGTGTGTTAGTTCCTGAGTTCACTGGCGCATGTACAGTGTGATGAGGCCTGCATGGTGGAGCTGCTGCCACAGTGTCATCTCCATCCTCAGGTCATGGTTGATGAAGAAACCCACTGGGTGATACTGGCTGTCGTAGTAGTGGTCAGAGTAGTTCATATAGTCTGGAGTCATGAAGCCGTACGCGCTCACCTGTTTTCAAACAACAGACGAGAGCAAGAACGAGAGAGAAACGGGGGGGGGGGGGGGGGGGAATCAGTTTTTGCAGTCACAGTCTTTAGTTGTCAAGTGTTCCATGCCTCAAGAACAATGATTAATTACCTGTACTTGTATTTCTGTTTTACAAGGCTTTTGAAGGTTATCAGGGTCAGAGTAAATACTGTCCAACTGGAAGGCCAGTGCAGTCATGTCCAGAGAGTTGTAAGCTTACCAGTTATTGTTTAAAATGGCTAGTCACTGGTGGGTCGTACCATACCTGGTCACAGGTGTGCACCGCAGCCAGCAGCATCACAGCACCTGTTGATGGACGGTAGATGTCCTTGTATTTGGTCTGCATGGCATGGGCCCGGAGGAACCTACTCCATAAAACAAAAAACATTTAACAATACTGCTGGTCCACACATTTACTTCAAAAACAACCCATTAAAATAGTATCCAAGAAAATGTTATTTCAGGGACAATGAAGTTTATCCGGTCCTAAAATGCACTCGTTGGAGAAAGGTGTTGGACAGACCACACTTGGCTGCCACCTTTTCCTTGTTGTGAGGAAAACTAACACTACACAACACTGTCCTCATCAGTACGCACCCGAACGGAGTCACAGTAGAATAATGCCCTTATAGTGTTAGAGAAAATACTTTTGGTGGGATGGAGTTTTTGCCTGCTTGGTGACATCACCAGGCGGTAAATGAGTTACTAGACCAATAAGAGAGTTCCAAACATAACAGTTCAGTTTTCCCCTCCCTACTCAGACCACTCCCAGACATTCCTAGCTAAATCCTTGCTTGAGAAATTGCTCTTTGCTCAGAAGCTATTTTGGTTTTCAATTCAAAATGGTCAAAAAGAAACAAAAATCACAATAAGGTAATGAATTGAAATTATTCGATATGGAGATAAAAACGGACACTGGCACTCGACCAGGGTTGGGATCAGTTCCATTTCAATTCAAAATGTTCACACACACACACACACACACACGTTCCATATATTATTGGAACCTCATCAGATGACCGCTAGTCATTGTGGGAAGTGCGCTCTGTCATAAAGTGGCTCCCCACCCAAAACAGTTCGACTTCATAATCTTTTTTTTTTTAAATACCTTTGTCCAGGTGTGTGAAATCAGAGCTCAGCTGTGATTCGGAATAGCCACAACAACTATCCTAAAGATTGTGCTTTGTACTAAGACAACACTTATTTTCCCCTCTTTTACACACCTGTTTCTGATGTAGCGTATGAAATCTGGATGGTACATCTTAAACTTCTCTACGGTCACATTTCCTCCGAAGTATGAGGGAGGCCTTAAAATACAATTTACAAAAAAGTAGCTTATTTTCACAAGCTGCATGAGGAAACAAATATGGATAACAGTATAGAACACACATTTGTAAATAAAGAAGGAATACTTGGACATTGAGGGTGTTCAATTACAATGGCAATCCACAGACGCTGTGTTGGGGAATGAAATCAAAACTGCCTCCATGTATGTGAACCAATCTGATATCTTACGTTTTGCTCCTCTCTGGTCCTCTCTCTACTGGAGTGTGTGTGGCGGCTGCTTTCATTAGCAGATAATCCCTGTCATGGTCTGGCAGGAAGACATACCGTGTCTCCTACAGGATAAAAAGAGAGAGAAAGTGAGGGGAGGGGGGGGGGGAATACAACATGATCAGACTATTAAAAAAAAAATAACTTAAGAGTTTGTCTGTCAATGAATTAAAGAATGGATGGATTGGTTTATTCCCAGTGTGTAAATTTGATCGTGAACCACCATCATCATTCATATTATTTTATATAGTATTGAGTGATGTTTTATTTAAAAAAATATTTTTGGGGGTATTCTTTCTTAAAACTGCATTGTTGGTTAACGGCTTGTAAGTACGCATTTCGCTGTAAGGTCTACACCGGTTGTATTCGGCGCATGTGACAAATAAAATTTGATCACAGAAGTTCTCACCTCAGAGAACGGTGGTCCTCTGTAGCCCGCTCCGGCGTAGTTCTTCATAGAGTTACGGAGGGTGTTGGTGGAGAATGTGTAGAGTGACGTTCTAGAGCCCACATCCTGCTCAAAGCCTTTAATCACAGCTCCGTTGGTCCTGGAGTCACAACCGAAGCATGAAACAGAACACTGTCTATTACCAATTAAAAAGGTTGCTGGTTCGAATATCGGAGCCGACAAGGTGGAGAAAAATAATCTGTCGCTGTGCCCTTGAGCAAGGCACTTAACCCTAATTGCTTCAGGGGCGCTGTACAATGGCGACCCTGGCCGTGACCCCACTCCCTGCGGGTGTCTCAGGGGGAGCTGAGATATGCACAAAGAAAAACATTTCCATTACATGGTCCGTTGTGACAAAGCTCTTAAAAGAAAAGGAGAAAAAAGCGAGAATGGAATGGACTTGACCTACATGTGTATTTATCCTACTGTTTTTACCAAACAAATGTCAATATAAGCACCCCCCAAAATTATTATACAACACAGGAACACTGTGATGACCAATTAGAACCCAGGACACATAGGAAGGAACACTGTCAATGACAACAGCAGCATGAAGGAACATGAACACTGTCAATGACCACAGACTCTCAGGTAACCACAGAAACCAGACGCATGCTTCATTCAACACTCTTGAGGAGCCCTTGAACATCCTGAATGACACACAGGATGAAGGTAAACGTCATTAACATGGTAATGCTCATTCCAAGGAACCTCTTAACAAGGTCTAACCAACCCCGCAGGCTATTGAGGAGGTCAAGACTAAACAAGGACAAAGATGGCGTCTTACCTGAAGACATAGTCATGACGGTCAATATCCCGGCCTTTCTTCGATTCCTTCAGAATCCCTCCGTTGCCCACGACGGCACAGCGGACACACTGTGAGCCGTTGCTACGACGCTCCCAGTCATCAAACATGTGCCAGTTGGCTGATGTGTTGAGAACAGATAGGGTCGATACCAGAGCTGCGGCAATAAATGTATTCCAATGTAATAAAACAATATTCAAAAGAGAGCCAACCAATGGCTCTCTGCCAGAGATCTTTGCCTCATGCAAATTTCCAATGAACGACTGCTACACTCAACTGTCGGTGTCTTGTCACAATAGCTGTGAAATAACAGATGGGGCCTGCAGCTAGGCGTGGGTAAAGTCTATGGGGTAAAAAAAACAATGGAACTCTTCTAGATAATGATGTGAGCTGATAAGAGATTCCCATGCATCTGTGAAGAGGTGCAGATGTACTCAATTGACTGACCATAAAGGGTTGTGTGTCCAATCTCTGAAGCCATATAAAATCTTTATTGAGATGACCATGGAGCATTGGGCACAGTAGTTAAGACAGTCACCCACACTAACACCATGCACTGTCTGTCTCTCTTCCTGTAGCCAATGTTGTATAACTAAATTATTTGTCGGTGTACCTATTCATGTTAACATGATTTGTCCGCACATTTCTACAAATATTTGGTGTGAAGTAATGCATTGAAACGACAGTCATGTCAACATGTATTGAAAGTACTTACTGTTATAGTCGAGGTTTGCCCAGCCGTGAGTCCCTGGGTACAGTCTGAGGCGCTGGTACTGTTCTGGAGTGGCATGCTTGGCCCACTGGAGCACAGGGATCCTATCCAGATACCTCACCCCAAAGTCTGTCTGGGGCACCCTGCTACGAATACCGTCTGGACAGTCCTGGAGGGAATGCCGTTCAGAAAGTTGAAGCTCATTTACTGCATTTCTATACAATTTCTAACTCTAAAATGATATTTGGAGAACAGCAAAAACAAGCAGAAATGACCCCAGCCTTTATCACGTTGGTTGCTGTAGCTTCATTCACCTCAGTCCATCTACAAACACATAGCCTATTAGCTATACAATTAGCCGCTACACATTAACTCAGCACAGAGATTTAAAACTATAATTTCTTTGTCTCGGAGGACCATGTGATGACGCTACAACATTATTCTATGGTGATGACATAAAGAGGGTAGAGCAAGAGAACAGAGTCTGGGAGACCTGGAATATGACTTCATATCCTGTCATCGTCATGGTACATGGGAAAAAACACCAGCACACTCCCACGCACGCAACGTCCTTGTAGAACACTAAGTTAATCATCAACATCAGCATGATGAAAACTGAACTAATGGTGTAACTTTACCATGCAGACCTGCAGTTACATAAACTATAAACATTTATTTGTACTGCTCTAATTATGTTGGTAACCAGTTTAAAATAGCAATAAGGCACCTCAGGGGTTTGTGGTATATGGAAAATATACCACGGCTAAGGGCTGTATCCAGGCACTTACCCGTGGTATATTGGCCATATACCACACCCCCCTCGGGCCTTATTGCTTAAATATATAACTGGGCTGATTTCCACACAACGTAATATGGACATGGCTTAAGGTTCCCCTCATATTTAGCTACAGCCCTGTATCTAACGTAAATTTAAGCAGGAGAGAAACTCTCCCTCTGCCTTTCAGTATCCACCAAAGGAATACCTTTGTCTAGAGAGAGTGTGGCCCACCTAAAAACTCAATGTTCAAATGTCAAAACTTTTGACGTTAATTTCTGACAACCAAATGGTTGGAATGGTCAGTGGGGATCTAAAGAATAATCATGGTCATATTGTTTATTATTTTGTGATGCCATTAAGGATGGTATCAAGAAATAACTAACGTCGAAAGTGTACATATTTTACTTGTCAAGTTTACATCTAAATGTTGTATCAAATATATGATTGAGTATTTTGGTTACGACAGCAATGTGATTTTAGCCTTCTAATGAGATAATCGTTTTCTCATTAGAACTTTTGCCCAGTCAGTAACCATGCCCAAGTGAGCCCAGAATTGTGTCGGCGTAATGGAACACCCCCTTTTTACCCGAGGATAAAAGCCTTGGTAACTAAATTTACATTAGACCAGAAAACATGGAGTGGAGACTGCACATTTAAAATGGTTAGAACTTTGGACCAGCAGACCAGGAAGCGTGGAGCTGTGGCTACACGGCTTAAAAATGGTTTGACCAGAAAGACCAGCAGACGTGCAGCGGGAGCTGAACGTTACAAATGGTTGACACTCTAAGAACGTGAGACGTTAGTCCACACGTTTGAAATTTTACATTTACATTTTAGTCATTTAGCAGACGCTCTTATCCAGAGCAACTTACAGTTAGTGAATAGAATTTTTTTTTTTTATACTGGCCCCCCGTGGGAATCGAACCCACAACCCTGGCATTGCAAACGCCATGCTCTATCAACTGAGCTACATCCCTGCCGGCCATTCCCTCCCCTACCCTGGACGACGCTGGGCCAATTGTGCGCCGCCCATGAGTCTCCCGGTCGCGGCCGGCTGCGACAGAGCCTGGATTCGAACCAGGATCTCTAGTGGCACAGTTAGCACTGCCTTAGACCACTGCGCCACTCAGGAGTATATGAAATGGTGAGAAACTCTGAAACTCTCAATCTCTACACAAGAAGCAGAAACTCACATTACCAGTCTGCCGCCGGAATGTAAAGTAGTCTAGAACTTTCACTAAAATACACGAGTTGGGAAGGACAATCCTGTCTCAGACAACTGTTGGTACATCTGAAGTACCTATTCTAACGAACACGCCATTCGAAGACAAGCCGAGTCTCACCAAAGTGGGATAGGACACTCAAACCGTTTTTGAGAAAGTGGTTCAACAGAGAGACGACGATCAAGGACAGCTACGCATAAATATGCATTGCATTTGTTATCCGAACGAGCGGTGGTTTCCAAATGTAACAACGATAAGTTGAATCTCTGTCTCTCCCTTTCACTCTCTTTCTATTGACCCCTCCTTCCCCTAACCCAGCAGTCATGCTGTTAGTCCACTAGGGACCAGTTTTCATTGTATTACGTTAGTAATCAATAACATATACCGTGTGTGTGTTTATGTATTCTGTGTTATATTAAGCCAATTTGTCTATTGCTGATTCATCAATTCTTGCAGGTTCAAGGATTATGCGACGTTCAGAATGAGACTGATAAGAGGTAACGATTTAATAAGTGATTGTTATCGATAGAAGATAGATAGAAGATATATCTATCTAAGAGTTTAATTTGTGAGATGGTAACTCATTAAACAACTTCTTCTGTGGTGCCCCAAATTCCTAATGAGTTAATCGTTACATGATTCATTTAATCAAGTGACAATTAAACAGTTGGTTGATTTGATAAATAACAGTCATCAGATTAATGAAAGTCACGTCACGACATGAGGAAATACATTTTTTTTATTTCCTTGTCTTGGTAGACCATGTGATGACACTACAACATTTTATTTAACCTTTATTTAACTAGGCAAGTCAGTTAAGAACAAATTCTTATTTACAATGACGGCCTAAAACCGGCCAAACCCAGACGACGCTGGGCCAATTGTGCGCCGCCCTATGGGACTCCCAATCACGGCCGGTTGTGATACAGCCTGGAATCGAACCAGGGGGTCTGTAGTGACGCCTCAATCACAGATGCAGTGCCTTAGACCGCTGCGCCACTCGGGAGCCCATAAACATTATTATATGGTGTTGACAAAGAGGGTCGAGCAAGAGAACACAGTCTGGGAGACCTGGAATATATTCATCATGGTACACGGGCAAAAAAAAAAAAAACACCAGCCCGTTTTCACTGGCATTCATCGAACTAGACATCACACACACGCAAACACCAACCCACGTCCTTATAGAACATGAAGTCATTCATCAACATCAGAAAGAAGATGAAAACTGAAATTGTGTAATTTTACCGTGCAGACCTATAGTTACATGAAGGTAATTATAGAACTGGGCTGATTTCCACACAAGGTAATATTGAGATGGCTTAAGATGGCCCAGAGCATATCAAATGGCTGTATGAATTACACTTTGATTACCTTTTGGTTTGTGTAATCTGGTGGTTAACAAGAGTACCACACATGTCATCTGACTGAGTTTACAAATATCCATAGTCCTTATTTTGTAGCAGAGTGGGGCATTATTTTTAAAGTGCCTCCATGCACAGCCCCCCACGTGTCTGAAAGTACAACCCTCAGCCCTTTCTCCAAATCAGTCGGCATTGACTGCAAGTAATAATAATAATAATAATAATAATAATAATAAGCCATTTAGCAGACGCTTTTATCCAAAGTGACTTACAGTCATGTGTGCATCAATTTTTACGTATGGGTGGTCCCGGGGATCGAACCCACTACCCTGGCATTACAAGCACCATGCTCTACCAATTGAGCTACAGAGGACCACAAGTAGACCACAGGCCTTCTAAGGTCTCTGAAGTAGACAGCAATCACAACAAACATCAAGTAAAAGAACAGGAAGAGTGCAGAAAAGGGAAGTTCAACTCACTGTTCGAGGTGGGGCATCTTCACTGTAGTAGCTGTCACCAATGAAGGGTGGCTCTGTTGGTTTGGGTGACTTGGTCAGGAGAGCACCTTTAAGATCAGGGCCCTTGGTAGTCCTGGCTCCAGGTTCTGTTGAGGATCTGACTCGGGCAGGGGATGTGGACTGCACCTTTAAACTTAAAGGTGTTGGTGGTGTGGTCCTGGTGTGCTGGCCATCACTACCATCTGACAGTGTTTTGTCAACAAGAGGGTCTTCAGAGTCATGAAACCTGGCAAGAGAAAACAAAATGGTCAAACAAGACACACAGAGCTGAAATGTATATAACCTTGACTGTCCTGGGTAATGTAAAATGTGTAAATTATGCCTTTCAGTTCAGTGTCATAGAAAATCTCTCTCTCTCTCTCTCTCTCTCTCTCAAGTGCACAATGTCCTGCTACCCAATTGTGGAAAAACTCACATCTTCCTCGAACACAAACAAAGGTCCTCAGTAACAGCGGAAATGTGTCTGAGACAAGAGGCTGATTCTGTTGATGCCTGTATCTCTCTGTATCTGACTCGGCAGAAACAGCACACGCTCTGTCAACTATGGTAATGACTGGGTGGTGTGACCCAGATTGAACAGAGAAGATTAACCTAAAATAGCTTTTTAAACATTATCTAGGGTTGAGCCTGGTCATTGTAAAGGGTTGTCAGATTTCACCACTATTGAATTTATGCTTTACACAAACCTACAACTTCTGCTTTAGTGTTTCCCTTCTTCCAGGCTAATGTGTGGTTGTATCTGGATTAGGGCTGACCCCAATTATTCAACTGGTTGATTGTTTGGTCGATAGGCTGTTGGTCGACTTAATTTTTTTGGTAGAGCAGTAGCAAATATGTATATATTTTTTATGGCACACGAGACACCCGTCTTATTTGCGCCCATCTCAGTGAACTAATCCATTGTGGAGGCCAAGATTAATCCTTATGGAGGCCGCGGGGATGGCACAGTCCAAGAAGAAGGGGGTGTGGCTGCACAATGCACGCACGTCTCTCTCCAGAATGCGCCCTCTCCCGCCAATTGGTGCACAGTCATTGTTTCATAATTTCATTGTGCGAATTGTTTGCGTTTGATTGTTAGTGTATCAATTCCCCATTACATAGATCACCAGTAGTACATTTACTATTAATTCCTAATCTACAATGTTTGTTTGGTTACGTCAATGTCTGTTAATGCATTCAATAAATTATTTTCCCAGTCTTTTACCGTTCTCATTGTAGGAGTGGACACGTTGTTTGCAGAGCTCACAATCTAGGCTACACTTGTGAGAAACAAGTTCTGGTTTATTTCATTCCATTTAAGAGTTGTCAATTTATTCATTATCTTTTGTTTGGCACGCTCCGGTCAATGTTGAGTAAGGACACGCACCTGATTACGCATAGAAGTCAGTCTATAGGCTACGTGGCCTGCGTGCAAATGTTGGCATATAAAATGTGCCCATTTGGGGATCTGATAGTATTTCTGATTGGCTTAATGGACCACCACTAATGAGCTGTGGAGCTTCTTAAAGTTATGTTCTCTTCACTTCAAAAACAGCTTCCAGCGCTCTCCCTTTCGATAACCACTCAGCATGAAAAGGGAAAAATGTCATGCTCTGATCCAGTGGAAAGTCGTAAAATAGGCCTACCTGATTACTTCTTATCCCTTGCGCAAATAGCCTACAGCTGTGTCTGTCCCGAGCTCACTGGAGCAGGAAACTGAGGGCCAAGAATATTTTATAGAATGTTGGAAGGATTATTAGGCTGGACCAAAGTTAATACCCAATGTTTCAAGTTCGTTGCAGACAGGCCATGCATAGCCAATGTGATGGATAGGATATTTATTTTAAAAATCTGGATATTTTCTACCTGCAAAGATTTTTAGTTGGGTATATAGCCTATTTTTACATACTGTGGTTGGAAGTAAATTTTAAAGGTTGGTATCATTTTCATGTAGATAGAATTTTCACACCACATGACAATGATTTTGAGATACAAAGACGTTATTATAAATGAAATTAAACTCTTCCACGAAAATGTGCATATGAAAACCATAACTGGCACGCAGATTGGTAGAAATTGTAAGATAAATCGGCATTCCACATGAGAAAGTTCGCAGACTCCTCGTGTAGCCTATTACCAGCAACTTCAGGAGAGTAACGGCTGAATCTACGAAAGCCAGAAGGAGGGTGGTCGTGACAGGTTGAGTTTTTTTTATTTTGTATCTTCTGGTTATCTACATCTCTGGCTTCCCTTGAGTCATTTGTGTCTTATTTCATTAAAACAGTGAACTTAAAGCATCAGACAAGCTAAATGCATATTTGTTGATTATTAAAAACATAGGTTGTGTGTATATGGAAAAATACACGTTTTAAAATGTCGATTGGTCGAAAGAACAGACGTCCACCTCATAACCGGACCTGTATCCCTACGTTGATATTTTCAGTTGGCCAAGTGCAGTATATAATATAAAATCCTAAATAGTAAATCCAGGTTGTGTCTGGATTTATTTTCAGTACAATATAATACCAAAGAGCTCTGCAGAGTAATATAGTCCAATGCATTGTGTTGTTGGGGGGGGGAGACAACAGTAAAACAGACTAGTCCTCGTCATACCCAGACCTGTATCCTCCACGTTGAGATTGTCAGCTCGGCCAAATGTAACATAAACAGACCTATAGTCTCCCTATTCCTTTCGTCAGTTGGCCAGAAGCATTATTTAAATACTGTATTTAATCCATAAAAAGAAAAGGTCCATCTGGGACTAGCAGCTGCATCCTCAGGTAACCATGGTGCTGTTCAAGACTAGTTGGCCATTCTGGCTGGACGACTAATCGGATACAGGAGAAGCCTCAGCGGAAAGGAACATCTGACCACTAAGTAATTTAATGAAAGACAAAAATCGAATAAACCCAATCGGATTATGGCGTAACCGATACCTGTGAAAATTTGAGATCAAAAGGGGATCGTCATCACCAGGAAATAGAACTGAAGTACTGTTGCATCCTGGACTATCCATTCTGTCATAAGAGGCTCTAGAGCAGACAAAGAACTTCAGATGATTTCGAGGCAAAATTCCCCCTTTTTCAACTGAAAAGCTAACGTACTTGTCATTCAATAGCAGAATTCCCCTTCTCCATAAAACGGTTAATTCGTCATTCCCTGGCCTTTCTAAATACAGTGAGCTCCATTAAACAGGTGTTAATAATAGACAGTGACTCCTACTCAAAATGCATTTGGAGAGCCACAGTTTGGAACAAATAGGATCGGCACAACAGGACTATTTGGAAAAACTGGCATTCAGATAAAAGCACTGCTCACTGCTTAGGCAGCAGATCAAAATGACAGACCTGCTGAAGCTCGAACCCTTTAGTCTCCGAATTAGACCTCTCACAGCGAGAGAAAGACAGCTGCTTCCACTACTCTCCCCGCTTTTAAAACAGGAGTAAGTCATTACTACCAGGCTTACATTTCACTTGTGTAACTCTCCTCCTCTCCCCCCCCCCCCCCCCCCCCCTTTCTCAGCATTTGTCGTCATGTTCGTCTAGTCGACGCCTCTGTGGCTCCATTGTGAAAACCACAATGACACGACTTGCAGGAAGAAAGTAGGAGGTTAGAGAAAAAGTTCCATGGTTTAAGTCTGCATGATCTCAGGCAGTTTAACCATATCCCTCTTTTTATGGCTGCTGATTTGGCAAACCGAGCGACTAGGATTTGCAAGAAAAAAGGAAGAGACGTTGCATACAGTGTTCCACTAGGTCAGCTTTTTAAATCAATTAAAATCCCTCTGAATGTTGGCTTTTGAATTACACAGTACACTAACCCTTTAACTAACTTCTCATAACTGGTTGATCATGTTGACAGTGGATGAGATCTTACCGTTTGATTTTCAGCATCACAGACACTGATTAAATAAAAACCTACAGTCAACAACAATCCCAGACAGTAGCTAGGTTTCCATCCAATTGGCGACAGATTTGCAAGTGAATATTCTAAAATCTGCATAAAGAGAATATGCGCATTTTTCCACCAGTGGTGTGTTTCCACCAAACTGACTTGTTGTGGATAAAAAATCAGTGCGTGATGACATAGTGCACCCAAAATGTACTTTTCCTCATGTACCTCATTTTCAACTACCGATAGTTGTCACAAAAACTGTTGCGTTAAATAGCAAAACGTGCCTACTCCGGTCTTGGCACCGTCACTCTAGCCAACAGCTGGCAGACACAGTGCGGGTAAACTAGTCTACATGAGATTATTATGGATAAGTGCGAGAATATTTTAAATTTGTCAAACGGCAGTCAAGCGTCGATCATGTCACCAGAATAAGACCCTCGATATTTATTGGAAAGGAGCATTAAGGTCGTGCACTTTCACCACCCTGTGAAGTTCATCATAAATTATTTAATCTGTAGCCTAATCAACTGCATGTTGTCCCAAATTTCCATATGATGGTTCTTAAATTTTCTCTCATAATTAATTTTACAGACACAAAAAGATCCCACCATGTCAAATGAACAAATGATCTGTCAGCATTTATAAAAATTGTACCGAAAGTTCCTGTTTCTGTCACAGCTGTCGTGATTAATTTTTTATACGGTATGACTTTACTCACATAAAAACTGTGAATGGAAACATGGTTAGTAGTGTTACATTTTCCCCACCAGAGTTTTCGATTGTTGCATCGTTGTTTGTTTACCTGTTTGGTTCCCGTGTGTACCCAATACCAGGGAATTGCGCCAGGTTCAGGTCGACCATGCGCCAGGGCATGGTGAGCTCAAGGCTCAGAAAGATGATGTAGATGACTGGCAGGAAGCTGACACCCAGGAAGCACAGCCAAAGCCTCCTCTGGAGCCCTATGCCCGTCATCATGGCCCAGAGCCTGGGCAGCCGGCTACGTGTGTGCCCCCTGCCCTCCACAGAGGAGGAACATGGGGGAGTAGCTGATGTCCTTCTGAGGAGGACGTTTGGGTTTTCAGGGGAGCAACGGGTAAAAGAGACGAGGGCTGGAGTTGCCTGTAAATGAATCCAGAGGTTCACACTGCTCCGGGGCCTCTCTTACCACGTGACAGTCTGGAGAGAGACGTGGGAGCGAGAGAGAGAGCAACAGGGGAGACGGACAGAGAGAAATGAGTGAGAGCAGAGGGGAAACTTTACCTCACCATGTCAACAGATCTGCTCCCAATAATCCCTTTTTAATTAATCCTCTGTCCACAAAATACAGGGTCACCATCTCTGCATCCTTTCATATCCCTCTTCTATTATAGGGGCAGATGGATTGGGTATTTACTTTGGCCTGTTTATTGCCACTGGTACAGGAATGAATCATGCTACAGGAACTGAAACTGAACAGGCCCTCATCCTTCCATAACATGTTTTACATTTACGTCATTTAGCAGACGCTCTTATCCAGAGCGACTTACAGTTAGTGAGTGCATACATTTTCATACTGGGCCCCCCCCCCTCGTGGGAAACGAACCCACAACCCTGGCGTTGCAAGCGCCATGCTCTACCAACTGAGCTACAGGGGACTACAACACAGTGATGGCAGAGTAACTGCCAAATGTACCATCTCCGACCACTCTGCTCAACCCAGAACCAGATAAGAAGAAGAGGGTCATGATGACCGACTTGTGACAAGCAATGGCAACACCAGGAAACCAGAATCACATCACTCCTCTGAGGAAATGTCTCCGTCCCAAATGGCTCTGGTCAAAAGTAGTGGACTCTACAGAGTAAAGGGTTTTTGGGGCGCAGTCAAGTCTGTGACTAACCATAAGGAACGTTTTGAATCTCAACAGTTACTCTGGTAGAATCAAGACATTAGCCCCTCTATGAGACCATGAACCCCTCCATTCTCACCTCCCTCTGACTACAATGACATGGTAAACACATCGCTGGGTGGAAAACATGGCCCCAGGCACTTTATTCTATTCTGCTCAGATTTACATGAATAAAATACAGTATGTCTAGTGAGATAGATAGAACATCAGCTTAAAACGTCTTTTTACACTAGCCTTGGATATGTTGTGGCCAAAGCCACATTCCTGCTTCATGTGGGAGCGCAGCTATTAGCATACCAAACATACCATAGTATGTGGACTAACAAAACAAAGATAGCAATTGAAACTATACAGGAGCTTCTCATCTAAACCATATTGCACAGTGTTGCACACTTGATCAATGCAACGATTCAAAAAACGTATAATAGAAAAGCCATTCATTTTCAGTTTGGGGGGGGTAATGTGGTGTAGATGACTCCCACAGTACCTCCGGAGTTGGTTTGGGAGCATAGAGAATGATAGAGTCCTCTAGTGGCCAAAAGGCCGTTTTAGCATGGACAGCGACATTGGGAGCTTCTACCATTTTTAATTAGGCAACTGGGCGGGACTTCCAACTTCATTGGCTAATCCCTCCTGGTGACCCTGTTGGAGTCACGTCCAATCAAGTCACCAGGAGGGATCAGGCAATTGTGAAGAAAATTGACTACTGTGCCACTAGAGATCCTGGTTCGAATCCAGGCTCTGTCGCAGCCGGCCGCGACCGGGAGACTCATGGGCGGCGCACAATTGGCCCAGCGTCGTCCAGGGTAGGGGAGGGAATGGCCGGCAGGGATGTAGCTCAGTTGATAGAGCATGGCGTTTGCAACGCCAGGGTTGTGGGTTCGATTCCCACGGGGGGCCAGTATAAAAAAAAAAAATGTATTCACTAACTGTAAGTCGCTCTGGATAAGAGCGTCTGCTAAATGACTAAAATGTAAATGTAAATGTACTTAAAATGGAGATAGCCTCAATGGGTAGCGTCATTGAGGCTATCACACTATAACGGAACAGATACAAAGATGAGTCATCTGTTACAGCCATATCTCCAGGTTACAGCGCTTGTTTTACGGAAAACAGACAGAAGACAAGAGGCAACCACCACCGGAATTAGTGTGGGAGACATCTACACCCCCTCTGAGTTAGCTATCTAGCATGCTCCGAACACCTGTGCGCTTAACTCAGGAAGTGTAGCGGAAGTGTAGTTTCGTCGGATGGAGGCGCCCATAGCAGTATGGATGTGTGCAAAACTGTAAGTCTTTTTTATTTGAAGGATTCTTTCTGGCTGATAAAAGATAATGGCCATATATTTCCAAAGCCATAATCGCAAGCGATGCTTATCAACGTTTCTAAATGTTAAAACACAGCGGCGGGATTGTAGTTCACATCAGCCAATCGTGGGCGAGGCTAATGGCTGAAAACTGTAGGGAGAAGGCAGAATGCAGAGAGCTATCCTGGACCTAGTTTGTGTTGTCAAAGCAGTGTAGTGTAAGTCTTTGAAACATACCAAAAGGCAATGAATACATCAGTAAAAATGTATCAAACTAAACTACTGTAAGACAGATGTCATTAAAATGTAACTGATTTACTTGTCCTGACTTATTCTTCAGTGTCTGTTTGAAGATAGATGACCAGGAAATGGAAGGACCACCTAGATCCTCAGATTATCCCTGTTCAACACATCTGTGAAAACTTTGACATTTAGTGGAGAATACTTTCCCTTAAAATGGTCTTAAAGAATATTGATTGTATAAGCTTGGCTGTGCTATCACCTTTTGTTCAATTCAGTTTAATAATGATAAAACACTTCTCTCCCCCTTTTGATTTGATTTATTTCCTATCTTTTTTTCGTTCTCCTAAAAGTCTGAATAAATCCTAAGAAAAAAAGCTGTACACTTTTCATGGTATTTGTTAAAGTTGATACATTATGCTCAGTAACAAGTCATGACTACCATTATCACCCTCACAGAAACAGCAAGTCACTACTCTGAGAACTCTCTCCTCCCTTCTCACAACAGAAACTTAAACGTAGAAAAAGTTAAAATGTCCCCTTACCTGTGACGAGCCTTCTTTAGTGACAGTAGAAAACCAACTAAATCACAATAACTCCTTGGCTAGGTAGACCGGAGCGTAACACAGCATGGGCGGGACTATTGCGAAATGAGCAACAGCTGCTGGCACTAGCGAGAGAGGGAACTTATTCTTCAGTGGGGTTTATTGACGCTTGGCAAGGAGAGAGGGAACGTGTACTACGGGGTGTAATCATTAGTCCACACAGTTTCGTTTTGCAACGAAAACTAGCGTTTTTATTTGACAAATTCAGGTTTCATTCTGTTTGGTTCTGTTTAGTTCCTAGGGAATACATCCCAGGCTACGATAAAGTCAGACGTGAGAGGACAGCGCTAGAGAAATAGGCTTGTTATGATCACAATTGCTGTGTTTCACATCGGCTCTTTTTCAGAGCTGATTTGATTGGTCAAAAGACCAATTAGTGAAAAAATATCAGAATTGAGACTGCCTGTCTAAATGCAGCCAAAGTGTTGAGGCTTAAATCATACTACCTATATAGTGACCCTTGGCCTGGATATGAGCCCACATCTATAAACACAAAAAATAAACTGTCCAGGACAGAGGTGTCATGCCCATAGAGGACACGTGCCCCCTCAGATTTCCCCTGTTAAATTTAAAATATATATATATGTGTGTTGTTTCTCTGTAGTACTACTAGCCACCGATCATTTGAAATTGAAGTTGGCTTTAGCTAGCCCAGATAGGTTCCCAACGTCATAACTAGCTACCAAGAAGCCATTTCAGGCTATCAATCCAATTAGAGAAGCTAGCTTTTCTAAAGCCTTGTTCAGATTGGCAGTTTGAAGTGACTCAAATCCAATTTTCCTGCAGTCTGAAAAGCCAAAAAGCACATGGAATCGGATATTTCAAGCCACCTTCGTAGGTGGTTTGAAGTCAGATACAAATTTGATTCCTGGCCATGCGACTTGTGTCTGAATGGTCAAATCTGTTATTTGCCATAACTTGTTGCTTGCTAGCTACTCTGTTGACAGTTTGACAAGAACATGTGGTAGATAACTAGCATGTTAATTGTTTACAAACAAATGAGTGAATATGCTAGAAAACTAAACAACTACCTAGCTAGCTAGATGATTGCTTTGGCTAGCAAAAAAAAAGGACTTGGAAGTTGGATAATCTTATCCTTTGAGGCTTTAAACGTGTTCTTACACTATGATTTTGAACATTCAAAGCAACTGGGAAACGTCCATGGCAGGCATTGTTGCCACCTTAGCTTGCTACATAACTTCCGAGTGACAGGAAACACGAGCACCACCACCAATCAGCCTACACCACTATGACAACTGGCACATCCATGTCAACAAATCACTGCTGTCTGAACACACAAAATCCGATTTGGTCACTTGTAACTTGCTGTTTGGATAGTCAGTATTCCAAAACGGATTTGAAAAACTAAACTGATTTGAGGATTAAGGCCTGCAATGTGAACAAGACTTAACTATCTTAACTATCTTAACTACCTGCTGGCAACTAAATGTACTGAATAAGACTCACATTCTTTTCAATCTTTTACCCAGATTTATGCAGAGATGCATATTTAGTTTCTTAAAAAAAAAAAAAAACACCAATTAGGAGAATACAGACTAGAGGTCTTTGCGGGTCAAAAAAGTTGGACCTTGTTCCCGAAATGGACCTAGGGCTTTCCCACCTTGATCCAATATGCATAAATTAATGTAAAAAAATATAGAGACCTGTTTTCCGAATGGACCCCAGGACAACTAGACCCGTTCTGGATAGATGTGGTCGGATCCAGACCCGGTCAAAACCGATCCGAGTGAGGGAAGCAGCAGAAAAGTCATTTAACAGTGGTGTGAATTCATGGATGCCAAGGGAAGCCAGGCTTTCCCCCAAAAATATAAAATATTTTGTCTCTGTGTTTCATAATTTTCCTTCAAATTTTACCCACGCACCGCTACTGTTTTTTAAGCTACTTTATTAAGTGGAGCTGATAAAGCGCGAGAG